ATTGCCCATTAGGATTATTTTTCCTGTCGGTCCCACACCCTATACTGCTCAGCCATCTCTCACTTAAATGCACAGCTCTCCAAACATTAAAAAAGGGAAGCGCCAGTTAGGTTAAACTTCTAGGGGCTCGTCCATGCCCCCATTGTGACTTCTAGTTCCTTTTCCACTACCTAGAGACAATGTCACTAGAGAAGGAAACTGTGTGGATGCAACCAAAGAGCTGAGCTAGCTCCCCTTTGAGGGCATGAAGAAACCAGAGAACCCTAAAACTCACACTTTCAAAAAGCAGGACCTTCTGGGATTGATCCTGGTTTTCCTGTGTTTAGCACAGAGATACTAGTATGTGGAAGGAGAAGCTCCCTGCCCGGAGAAGCTTCTCCAGGCTCTGGTTTCCTTTCCTGTAGGGCAGTGGTTCTCAACCTGTGGGTCGCGACCCCCTTTGGGGGCCTGAGACCATCGGAAAACACATATATGATTACATATTGTTTTTGTGATTAATCACTATGCTTTAATTATGTTCAATTTGTAACAATGAAATTGGGGATCACCACAACATGAGGAACTGTATTAAAGGGTCGTGGCATTAGGAAGGTTGAGAACCACTGCTGTAGGGGCGCCCTTGCTTTGATTCTTGCTGTCACATACCTGCCTTTCTCCCTGTGACAAAATCCTCCTCCTTTAAAAAACCAGGACCTCCTTAGAATAGCTGCAACAGGCTAACTTCTTTTCCAAAAGAATTTTACTAAATAACAAAATGAGCTAATGAGAGAGAAAAAAAGAGAGAAATCATAGAACACACAAGCATCGGGTTTAAGATTACTGTAATTACATTTTAGACCTCCATGCTCCTTCAGTGAGGCTAGCCACCAAGCTCCTAGACTTGGCATTTATAAAAACTTCACCGTAAAGTTGAACCCCCCGCCCCCCCCCCCCCCCCAACTTGGCGGTCTGTCTATAGCTCTCTTGCAGTCCATTTCTGTTCAGCTAAATGGTGGGACGCTTGGAGATTGACTCAGAGAATGTCCCGGGCTTTTAGGCAATCCCTTATCTAGTCCTTTAATCACAACAGCCATGTTAGGAAATTTTACCCCTGGGAGAGCTGGATTGGCCCTGGGGCTCCTGGCATGGTCTGAGAAACACTTCTTTGTAATGAGGGTGGCTGGAGCGGGGAGAAGAGACCTGATAATTATGAAGCTCTTAACATGGGCTGAACACTTGACATATTTAATTTTCAGCACGGACCTTTACTGTAGGTGTCAATCAGTAGTTGTATTTTGTAGAACTTGGAACTCAGAGGGTTAAGTAACTTGTTCAAGATTTTGAAGCTAAATGGCTACACTAAGAATGAAGTTTGGGCTGGTTGATGATGTTTGTGATCTGAACCGTGCAGCATAAGGAGGTTGAGGTGCCCTTGCTTTCTTTGAATGTGCAGGCTTTCCCACCTTATTTGTCTGGTTGGAGGGATCCTTTCAGTCTAAAAACATTTGCTGAACTCCCTTATGTCCATTCCTCTTTGATAGTAGGAGGTATAGACGTTTCATAGACAAAGTCCTTGCCTGCTGCCAGTTTACTGGGTGACTTAGGTGAATTATTCAACCTACTTACATGTCAGATCAGAAATGGAGTGATATCAGGTAAGGCACAGTATACTTTTGGTGGTATCTTCAGCTATGCAGTGTGCATAACAGAACACTTATTTTTTTCTCTGGGTCAAAGAGGTGATGCAGGCTCACAATTTGACACATGGTATAAAACTCATGGGAATCTGAAACTTCCTGAAGTTTTTTTTTTTAAATAAAAGCAACAGACATCAGTTATTTGCATGGTGCTCTACAAAGCGTTTTCAGATATCTTCACCACTGATTCCTCATCCCACCTGTGAAGTTCAATTAATGTCCTCATTTTAATAGAGGAATCTTGGGGTCACACAGTCAATCAAGGTAATGCAGGCAGAGGTGCTTAACCTTATTTTATTTTTCAGCGTGCCTCAGTTATTTAGAAAATTATTTTTTGACCTCAATAATTTGTAATAGTGCACAACACAGATACCATCAACAGGCAAACGAAAACACAAAGCCAGAGTCCACAACACGTAGCTGTAAATCATTAGAAACTCCAAACAATCCATAACAGTAAGGGATCATCTTCATGTTTATTATAACAATGTCTGGGAGTCGTTTGGAATGGGTTGGCTTCTCTCAAGAAAGTTGTTTGTGTTCAGTTGAGGGATAGCCCGCTAAGATTCAACTTTTTTATTTTTATTTTTTTAATTTAATTTTTATTTCTGTGAGGGTATGAAGGCTGAGCAAACAGGGATTGTCTAGAGAATTAGCACGGGGAAATAATAACCATATAAAAGCTTTAGGCACACAAAGAAGTTAACAGTCCCACAATCAACAGCAAGCTGATTGACAGCATGCCCTCCTTTGGGGGTGGCGGTGGTGGTGAACTGTGGAGCCCAGGCCCCCGGCGAACAAAGGACACCCTCCCCCACCCTCCTCTCCCAGCAGGGCCCGCAGTCTATTAGGCCTGTTTAGAGGCAAGACCTCCCGGGGTGGGGGAGTGGGTTCCGCGCCGCCCAGTTTTGGGGTGAACGCTGGTAGGCCTGCCAATGCAGAGAGGGTAGACTTGGAAGGGAGCCCGTTTCTCCCGGGTCCTCAGCGGGGGCCTGGGCTTGGGAAGCTGGAAGCACCTGGGGCGGGGGGTGGGGGGTGTGACTCCTGGGCCCTGGGTCTCTCCCGTCAACCATA